TTCCCTATTAAAAAAAAGAGAGAGGGAAGGAAATATGCTCAGCAGGGTGTGGTTTCCTTCCCTTCCAGACAAGTTACATTTAAAACTACTCTGCAACAGAAAAAGCTTAAGGCAAGAATCCTGAATAACCATTTCCTTTAACAAAACTTGGATGTTAAAGGTGCCCTCTTGAGATCTTCCAATCAGTGGTTACACAAACCCTTCATTATTGCAGAATTACTGAAGTATTTTGCAAAGAGAGAAAGTGAGACTGATAAAAAGGCTAAAGAGTAACTATTGTACAAAGCTTTGTACAGTAGCCTGCAATTATACCATTGCACAAACTTGATTTATTCAGGATTAACATTAATTATGTTCATTACCTAGAAGACTGACTTACTCAGATGTGCCTGTTTTCTGGGGAACGTTAGACAAATCTTGTATAATAAATGAGTGGAGAATGTATAATGAAGACCACGATTAACCTGCATAAACAGCTTAATTACCAAGACATCAGTAATTACAGTTTGACAATTTATAAAGGTTTACTGCATTTGATTAAAATAGTTCCTTTTTCCCCCAGCATTCTGATAGAATGTGATACTACATCTACCCTTTCAAGATTTTACCGACAAAGAAGGATGTTTTCATTATTTTTTCACTATTTTATACAGTCAAGGAAAATGTCTTTTATCAGGTGTCATACATTTCTGAAAAGGCAACCAGCTTTGCTTTTAGAGCAACTGTTTTAAGAAAGATGTTTTGTAGTTATAATGATAATGTTTTAACGGAGGACTGAACTGCTTCACATGATAATGTTGCTTTTAGATGTTTTTATTCATATACTACATTTGATATTTTATCCTATTCAAACTTTTTTTTTTGTAATGGCTAGAGTTATACAAAAATAAATTTGCTTTACTTTATCATGTCAGAGCAGCTTTTAACAACTGGCTTCTCTGCCACCCATTGCTACAAATCCAAGCCACCTTAAGCCTGAACTCTGCTACTGGACAATGCATTCCTAATATAAACTGTTGTTTCAGGCCTAGGGTTTACATCAACACCAGATGGAAGATCTGCAGAAATGAAACAATCACACGGATCTAGAAAGAGATGTCAGCAACAAGAAGTCATGGTTTATGTTTGTAAAAGCATTACATAAACATGAGTTGTAACACAGCGGCAGATTGCTAAGGGTAAGACTAAAAAGTGAGTGTAAACCTTTGGTGTCCAAGTTAAGTAACACCCCACATTCAGACAATGCATATCCCTCTTACAACTCTACTTATCAGTTCCATATTCAGAGACCATATTCCATATTAGTAAACCATTTGCCAATAAATGGCAGAGTGAACGGATATATTGAATCCACAAAAGTCTTAAGAGAGGTTTAGTTTATGCATGGAAAAAAAATAATCTACAGAAGAACTGAAAACAGCATGCATATTCATGTCAAGTTTTGGACATGAAAGCAGATCTTAGCTTGTGCGCGCACAGTGTTTTCATCCTGTTCACGACTGCTCCAGCAGCAATCTTGTTTCCTCTGCTGAGTTTAAAGAGATGATCCACAGAGGACAAAGGTGTCTGTCTGATACCCCAAATGGAGGCAATAATTGTTGTATAAATTCCGGCCATTTACACATACACAGTGTTTGTATAATGACCTCAGATTTATCCAAAAAGAGAATAACTATGAAAGGAAAGATACTGCGTTAACTTTGGGATGAGGATCACTGACTGATAGACACACAGAGAGTATATTTATGCAGTACTTCTGTGGGGAATTGGGAGGAAGTGAAAGTGATATCAAACCTAAATAATCAAGGAGACCAGTGATCTTTGGTTTTAATGTATGCACTTTTTCAGATTTTCAATGTTGTTAAATTATTTTAAAGTATTAAATTGTCCTATATTGTTGTACTCCACCCTGAGATTTTAGAATTTAGGCAGAATAGAAAAGTCCCAAATAAATACATAAATGCCCTGAGTATGTATGTGTACTCTGTTTTTCAATTTGGTGTGCAAATATGAGAACTGCACGGTGCTCAGCACACACTATAGATCTGGGCATTCATCAGCAAGCTGAAGCTAGTGAAAGTTGAACAGTACGTCAACCACAGGCAGGGAAAATAGGCTCTCTGTTCTACTGGGGTTATTGCCCCAGTAGAGATTATTCAATTTGCAAATTCAGGATGAAGCCAGTGTAGTTTGTAAAGAGAAGGGAAACCTTCCACCTCCAAAAGTAACTTGTGCGCTTGCAAGTCCTGTTATACCTAGGTCTGACAATCGAAAGTCACCAAGGGCAGATAACACCGAGGCACAGAAAAAAAGGATGCCACCGGTAGCTACCATTGTGAATGCCTTCCTGCACCCATAAAGAGTTCTGTAGTGCAGACACAATATATGCATAGGACCAAGATACATTTATAATGTGGGTAGAATGCCCTACCTAACAGAAAAGAGTTAGGTGAAAGCTTGCGGAGAAGAAAGCAGGGTTGATGGGGAGAGGGGGAAATGCCTGAGGGGAACAATATGTGGAGAAAATGGTAAAAACAAAATGTGGAATAAAATCTTTGAAGAAAATTCTACTGACAAAGGCGTTACATTCCTAGTTTGAAAATGCACTCAAGGGAAACCAAACCTGGGAGACATAATCCCAAGAGAGGTAACTCAGAGCCGATCATGAAAGAAGGCTTCTGGGTGGGGTGAACTGAAGGTATTTTCTTGTGTTTGTGCTTTGTTTTTTAATGATCACTAGAGTAGCTGCTTTGTAGTAGACAGAATTCAAGGGATGACAACAAGTTGAACCAGGTGGTTGTAATTTTTCCACCTCAGTAATCCATTCACTCACAAACAGCTTTTAGAAACATCTACAGAAGCCTTAAATTTATCTAATTTTTTTCACCACTTTAACCGCGGCTCTTCCCCAAAGTTTGCTGTTGATGTTACTGATCACTATTGTCTTTGCACATGCTAATTGCTGATTAATTTTATTAGAGGAAAAAAGGAAATGATAAAAAAACACTTCAGTGTAATAACAGTGTATTACTATCATTACGCCTAGGTTAGTATTATCCACTATTTACTGGTTAATGTAAACATTACATCTTGAGTTTAATCATTATTTAATAGGAGATACTGTTTTATTTGATAAACGTGTCTTAGAGGCAAAGACTAAATATTATCAATAACAAAGTAACAATAATGAAAATGACAATTGTCATTTAATAACCACAAATAATAATAATAATCAGTAACACAAACTGAACAATGAAAATAATAATACTGTATAAGTAATAAAACTAAGGGAACTGCAATAAAGATAAAGTGGGGAGGGTAAAGCCATGTATACCATCTTGAGCCCAAGGGGTGAAATGGGGAATATAAACTAAGAAAACAGGTCAATATCCCTTCCTAGTCCTAACCTCAGGATATCCACTGACTCATAGCTGCTGACAAACCCATGCAACTCATTCTTACTTTGGACTAGCAAGAGAGCAACAGCCATCAGAGCTCTAACTAGCCATGTTTTGGCACGCAGGACAACCTGCATCGTTTCCCACCCACGCTGCCTGTGCAAGGCGTGGGCACAAAGCCTCCATGAAAGAGAAGAATGTGGTATCCCTTGAAATAGAAAGGTTATGGATAAAGACAGGGCTGGATGTGTTTCCACATATTCTCCTTAACACTCACCAGCAGATTCACCTCTGGATTTCAGTGCTCTCTAAATTTCAGAGCCCCAGTTCTTCCACCCAAACTACAGTCCCGCTGGTCATACTGTACTTTAAAAAATTGCAAATAGCTGCTAATTTGCTCCCTCCAGTTTAAAAATTGATGATTTTACAAACATGTCATCTCAGCTACAAATGTTTAGGACTTGACTCCCTAATTTTTAGGCTTGGGAATCTGGTCCACCTCAATACACCAGTAATGCTGAGAAGTGCAATATTATAATAACAATAATGATAATTATTCGCAAATACATCATCTCACACGTACATTTTAAAAATCTGACGCTCTTAATGGCTTGACTCTTTGGACTGCCCCTCCAAAAAACATCAGCCATGCTGAGAAATAAGGGCTGTACAATTATCATCATCATATCTCCCCCCCACATGACAATGCTAATGATAATAACTGCTGGATAGCTCTATGGTTTAGGACCCTGCCAGAGGTTGGGAGTTCGAATTCCTCACTGTGCCTCCCTGACAAGGGGCTGGACCTTAAGATCCATACGTCCCTTCCAGTTTTGCAGTTCCTCAGATTACTGTACATTATATATACTGTATGTGAAAATAAAGATAGATAAGATATGCACACACCCTTTTTTCCAAATTCCTGGGGAAGGTGATTAGTGGCAGGGGAAGGAGGAGGGAAGGCAGACGAAGAGGGACTAACTGGGTCCTGGTTTTAACTGTTGTAAGCCGCCTGGGAGTCCTTTTTTTTTTTTTTAAAGGAGAAAATCATTTAAATGAATGAATTAAATAAGGAACTGGGAATATGCGAGTGAGAGAAAGAGACTGAGAGGCTCGCTCCATGATGGTGAGGGTGGTGGTGGTGGTTTCAAACGTGGGGCCAGGGACACGGGGACTGGGGTGGGTC